CCCCCTAAAGCCTAAACCCTAAACCCTAAGCCCTAAGCCCTACACCCTAAGCCCTAAGCCCAAAACCCTAAAGCCCAAGCCCTAAACCCTAAACCCTAAACCCTAAACCCTAAGAAGGAGGCGCCTCTCCGGCTCAGGCCTCTCCGGCTCGCCCGCCTCGCCCCTCGAAGCCTCGCAGACGGTTCTAGGGCTTGTAGGGTTTAGGGTTTAGGGTTAAGGGTTTAGGGTTTAGGGTTTAGGGTTTAGGGTTTAGGGTTTAGGGTTTAGGGCTTGTAGGGGCTTTTAGGAAAAATAGATATACATATGTAAATATAAGTGTGTGTATGTCGTATGTAGTTTAGGGTTTAGGGTTTGGGGTTTAGGGGTTTAGGATGTAAGGCTTAGGGGACATATACATATATATATATATAGATGTACTTCAAGGATTCTCTGCACCGGGCGAAAAGAGTTCCGGGCATAGGGTCTCAGGCCTGGGAAAGTTTTGGGGTTTTGGGGTTCCTTTGGCCTTTCCTTCCCTTCAAGTAACGTGGCTTACCCTAAACCCTTAAGCCCTGAACCCTAAACCCTAAACCCTAAACCCTAAGCCCTGAACCCTTATAGCCCCTATAGATCTAAGACTTCGGAGGCTTCCATAAGGGTTCTACTTTCAAGGAAGGCCTTATCATGAGGGTTCTTTACAAGGGTTTCTTTAAAGGGCTATCAAAAAAAGTTCAATAAAGAGCCGTAAAGCCTTAACCCCAAACTCTAAACCCTAAACCCTAAACCCTGAAGCCTTAAAGCGCAGGGCAGACGCAGAGCCCCAGGCCTGGTTCGCTGGCCGCAAGTCCCCCTGCTCAAACTGCTCCTTGAGCTCCTTCTTCGGTTCTGGGTGTGGGGTTTGGGGGTTTAGGGTTTGGGGTTTAGGGTTTGGGGTTTCGGGTTAAGGGTCCGCGTGTTGGTTGAATCGGTGTTTGAAAAGAACTATAAAGTTTAAGACCTCGGGTCCAGGGTCATTTAGGGGTTCTGTCGATGCTTAGGGGCTCTGTTCTCTGGAGCCTGGGACATTCTGCGTTACGGAGCTCTTGTACCGTTTCAGTTTTATAGTCTGCGAGTGATACTGGAATGGGCCTCACCGACTCTACTACTAGATTTGACTAGATAACTAGAATAGGCTTCCTTTAAAGGGGGGGCTCTACATAGGGATTTCTATCAGGGATACTCGTATCGGAATGGCAAGGATGGGGATTCGCACATCGGGCTTCGGGTTTAGGGTTTATGGATTTCAGAAGGGGCTCCCTAAACCCTAAACCCTAAACCCCTAAACCCTAAACGCTAGCTTAATAAGGGTTGGGAGGTGGGACTTCATTGAGTAGGGGCCTTAAGAACTACAAGAGGGCTTCGGGCTACACCTATACTACACAACAGTGTCTCCTCCCTCGTGGCCGCAAAGCCAGCTTCGTATCATAGACTACTGGGCGCTATTTTCCTTCCTCGGTGCCTTCCGCGAAGACTACTTCCCATTGTGCCACCAGGCACAAGAAGGACCAGCAGTGGTCGGGGTCCAGGAGGTCAGGGAAGTAGCCGAGAACCTGTGCAAGTTGGCCCAAGCAGGCCTGCTGGGCTGTCCTTCTTCTTGTTCGGGGCCTCGAAGTTCCTGCTGACATCGGCCTTGGATCGCCGACGGTGATGGCTCGAGCGCCGAGATGTAGATCTAGAGTCCTTTAGACTCTGGACTCTAGACAGGACAGTATGACAACGCACATGCAAGCAACGCACCACTCGCAACCAGTGGCCTTGCGCTTGCGAGTAGACCTGGATCGGGCCTGTGGGCAAACAACCGTGCAGGCAGGGTGGCTCAAGCAGGCACTTGTGATAAGCGACCCTAATAAGGGAACACAGTCGGTAATTACCCCACCCTAAACGCTAAACCCGACCACTATGGTATCGGATTGACAAGGAGCCTAAGTCCTAAGTTGAGACAACACAACGCAAGCCTGGAATCCGAAGGATCTGAACCGCATAGCCCTTTTGTTTTGGGGGTTTAGGGTTTAGGGGTTTCGGGTTTGTTTAGAGTTTAGGGTTTAGGGTTTAAACCCTAAACCCTAAACCGTTAGGGTCATCTTTCCTAGGCTCCTGGGTACAAGCTTAACGCAGCGGCTACCGGAAACTCCCGACACTCAGTATCTACAAGACCGAAACCTTACCAAACCATTTCTTTAGGGTTTGGGTCTTTAGGGTTTGGGGCTTAGGGTTTAGGGTTTAGGGTTAAGGATTTAGGGTTTAGGGTTTAGGGTTCTTTGTGTTTGGGGTTTTGGGGTCTGGGGCTTAGGGTCGAACAGCTCCTCGTATCTCGCCCGCATGGTCTGAAAGCGCTCCTTGGCTTCCTGCCAGGGAGCACTTCTGGGCTACAGGGGTCTCAAAAAATGAGAATAGGTATAATTAAGGTTCCTTTAAAGGGGTTCCTGTAGGACCCACATAAGGCGTTACTACAAGTTGTATAGGGATTAGGGGTCTCAAAAATGAGAATATGAATAAGGTTCCTCTAAGGGGGTTTAGGGTTTAGGGTTTAGGGTTTAGGGTTTAGGGTTTAGCACGACTTCACATAAGGGTTACTACAAGTTGTACTATAGGGGTTTAATATGAAGGTCATGGTAAATACCGTAGCGCACGTAGGCTTTTGGGGGATATAGCATGGCATAGTCATAACAAGGAATGCGAGAGTCGAGGCAGAATCCACAGTATACCACACACAATTTCTCCTGTTGACTCAAACCGACCTAAACCCTAAACCCTAAACCCTAAACCCTAAACCCTAAGCGAACATCGTCACCGGAAAGAACGGATGATGCCGGCTGCGGCCGGGTATCGCGCGACAGGAGGATCCGAGTCGCGAGGTTTCCCAACCGGGGACCCACAGACTCCAATACCCCTTAATTAAGGAATATACCTTAAAGGGCTCCTTAAAGGGATCTATAAGTTTATAAGGGTACTATAAAAATTACCCCTTAATTAAGGAATATACCTTAAATTATAGTAGGATCCCTAATATGATTTAAGGTATATTCCTTAATTAAGAGGTATTGGCGTCTCTGGGAAATTCAGTTGGGGATGCAAATCGGTGTCCAAGCGTCGAGCCTCGACAACTCGAAAGCGTTCAGCCGCCGCAGGTGGGCATCTGGCTCTCCCTTTTAGGGTTTAGGGTTTAGGCTACTTAAAGGATCATGGGACTTAGTAAGTAGGGTTATAACTAAGGTAGCTATACTTATATCCCCAATTAGGGGACTTATAACCTTACTTACTAAGTACCATGATCCTCCAAGTATCCGGAGAAGCGACTCGGCCGGGGGCACCTGGGGGACCTTACCTACATGGACCTGCGCGGGGACAGGCCGGGCCAGGCCACCGCGTTCGTCCGTCGAGAACACCTGAAATCTAAACCCCAAACCCTAGGCTTCTGAAATCTGAACGCTAAACCCGAAACCCGAATCCCCTTAACCCTAAACCCAAAAACCCTCAACTTCCAACTCTGCCAGGCGCCCCAAAGGTTGTAGCAGACCAGAAAGGCACGAAAGGCAAATTAGGATTTTCGGCTTTAGGGCTACTTGGAGGTTCATGAGACTTAGTAAGTATAGTTATAAGTACTTTACTTGGGGTTATAAGTAATTGTAAGTATAATTACCTTAAAATACATATAACCGTAGTTACTAAGTCCCATGACTCCTACGTAGGGTGTAGTGTTTGGGGTAGTGCTTTAAGGTTTAGGGTTTAGGGTTGTGGGTTCAGGGTCTAGGATTTTAGGGTTTATCGTTACAGCGCTAGGGGTAAGGTCTAGGGAAGCAGGGAATTTAGTAAGCAGCCCACGAAAAACAAACATAAACATGAAACTATGTAGATGAGTGAGTTCAACAATCAACAAGTAGACATAGATTATAGGGAAATACATACATACATATCTATATATATATATATATATATGCATTGGCGAGATACAATATGTCGAATCGTAAGCAATGCCACACACCCCTGGCCCCTTGCAAATCCTACAACTGTTGTAACACCCCTTCCAACCCTCCGTTGCACACACCAAGAAGCTCAACAACAACGACTCAACCCTGACATCCAATCACCGTTAAGCAAAGAGTCGAACGCCACCATAAAACCCTAAACCCTAAACCCTGAACTTAAACCCTAAACTTAAACCCTAAACATCAAGGATTACTTGGGGGACTCTCTGGGATCCACTCCCACCCCACCGCCGCTTAGGCACCAGTAAGTAGGAAATGCTCACCCAGACCCCAAAACCTAAAACCGAAGAGTCTCAAAGCCGTTGAAACACCCTCAGACTCTAAACCCTCATACCCTTGTGCTACACAACTTGCTACACCCTAAACCCAACAAAACCTACCCCCTCAAAACGCAACCAAAAGAATCGGATTGTTGAAACCTACCATTACAACCCCTTCGACTTCTTGATCCCCTATAATAGCTCCCTGTCAGGGCCTCAAAATTACCAAGAGGGTCCATATATGCCACCATTATGGAACTAGGTTCCCAAGGACCAACCCTACACCCCCAAACCTTAAACCCATAACCCTAAACCCTAAGCCCAAACATCGCACGCCTCGGTGCCGCCGTTCTTGTCCGGGTGCATAGACCGGGCTAGGCGGCGATAGGCGGTCTCCAAATCCTTTCGTTCTTTTAGGCTTGGGGTGTAGGGTTTGGGGTTTAGGGTTCAGGGTCTGGGGTGTAGGTTTAGGGTTTGGGTTTCAATTTTAGGGTTTGGGGTTCTAGGGCTTAGGGTTTGGGGTTTTAGGGTTTGATATTTGGGGCTTCGGGTTTAGGGTTATTAGGGTTTAGGGTTTGCCAAGGATCCGAAAGTAGAACCAAAGAAAAGGTATCCTAGCATTATACGGGTATAGGGTTTAGGATCCAGGGTTCAGGGCTTAGGGTTTAGGGATAAGACTTTATGTTAGGGATCGTATTCTCCATGTCCTTCTGAGTGCGGTTTTACGGTTCTTGAGGGCTTTGTAATACCTCAGAGGTCTGTCATTGGTTGTCTATTAGTGTACTTTAAAGTTTTTCGTAGGGGACAGAAGGACTTAGTTGCGGGGCCTTAAGAAATCGAACCCTGCATTGTTTAACAAGTACCCATAGGCCCCATGATAGTTATTTTTTGGGATTAACTTATAGAATTCTAAATATGAACCTCAAAAAGGAACTACTGTGGGGCCTATGAAAACGTAGATTGAAATTAGGGTTCGGGTTTTGAAGTCCTTGGGGTTTAGCGCCTACTGGCGCCCAAGTCTAACATTCAGCTCTCTGTTTTTTCTCAAACTCCCTCCCGAATCTTGACCCCAAACCCAGAAACCCTAAACCCTAAACCCAGAACGCCTAAGCCCTAACCCCTAACCCTCACCCCCAAACCCAAAAACGACTCTTGGTACTGAAACAAGTCCCCTTAAGATTCGAGGCAGAGACAGCCAAACCCAGAGACTCCAAGCCCTAAGCCCGGTTTAGGTTTAGGGTTTAGGGTTTAGGGTTCAGGGTCTAGGGATCTGGGTTTGGGGTTTAGGGCAAGGGATGCGGGGTTGATTTGCCATTGGGGCTGGAAGTCGAGGATCAAGGTGGGAGGAGCAGTCGTGACAGCTTGCTCCATCATCTGATAGGGTTTGGCGCCTTGGTTTGGGGTTGTAGGATGCCGTGCTAAGTGTTTAAGGGGTGCTTTTCGGTTGAGGGTTTAGGCTAACGCGTACGCCCTAATCCTCAAATATTATGGCCAGTGTTGTTGCTGATGATGCTGTTATTCCTATTCGGCTCGAGGGGTGAACCCGGCCCCTGCGTTTTAGCACTTTATGCGTATTACCAAGTACGCGACATCGAGTCGGACGTGCGTAGGGACGTGTTCCAGGGCCGAGGGGCGAAGGGTTCATAGTTCAGGGTTGAGGTTTAGAGACAACCAAAGCCAAAAAGACTCAAAAAAACAAAACCAAAAGAACCAAAAAAAGTAAAACCAAAAAAACCAAAACCAAAAAAACCAAAGAAACCAACAAAACCATTTCCAAGAGAGTCTTGTGACGGAAAATTCCTGGAAAATGGTTTTGTTGGTTTCTTTGTTTTTTTTTGGTTTTGTTTTTTTTTGGTTTTTTTGGTTTTGGTTTTTTTGGTTCTTTTGGTTTTGGTTTTGAGTCTTTTTGGTTTTAGTTTGTTGCTTTTGGTTTGATTATTTCGTGCGCCTTAGCTTTTGGTTTGCTTCTTCTGTCTGGTGTTTGTATTGTGGATACGCGTCTAGTGAACGGCATGTGATCGCTTCCGCTCTTTGTGGTCATAGGTCAACGTAAAAACGGTGGTGCCGTTAGTGCCATGTCGCGTCGCGAGCTTTTTAGTATTTGTATTAATACTCGTATACGTATTAGTATCCGTATTTGTAATAAGTTTAACATATTAAGTATATGTTACGAAATAGATAAGTATACTCATGGAAAAGTCTGCTAGTAGATCAGTATACTAGTAGATGAATGTTTTAGTACATTAGTTTATCTGTATACTTGCATAATTATTCATTGCTACATCAGTATATTATTATATGAGTATATTAGTAGACTGGAAAATGGTGTATTTGTATATTAGTATATTAGTTTATATCACTATATTAACACATTAGTAAAATTGTATTCCGTATTGGTATTAGGTTTAATATATTGAGTATATGTTACATAAACGATAAGTATATTAATGGAAAAATTTACTAGTAGATCAGCATACTAGCAGACTAACTTATTAGTACATGAGTGTGCTAATGGAAGGGTACTTTATTATAGTAGCATGTATATTATTGTACAATAGGAAATCTGTACATATTAGTACGCGTATGAGTATTGATTATCAATGTCAATGTGAGCCTTAGCATTAATATGAGTATCAGTCTGAATATGTATGCTGATATTGGGAAGAATACTCGTATACGCAGTAGTATTCATATTAGTATAAGGTTTAATATTTTAAATGCATATTAATAGACTAGTATTTTTTCAAGATCATGATACCAATACATGAATGTATTAGTATATGAGTATGATTGCACACTTGTACAGTCGTATATAGTGTATGAGTATGTTTGCATACCTGTATAGTCGTACATTGGTATATTCGTCCTTTGGCAAAGGAGAAAGGAGTATTCTCACATAAGTATATTTATAAGAAAGTAGAATAGTATGTTGATGTATGAGTACAGTAGTATATTTGTTTATTAGGGTAATATATTCATGCTACCAGTGACAATTCCCTGTGACTCCAAAAATCCGAAAATCCAATATTTTCGAGGAGATGGTAGAGCGAAGTTTGGATTTTTGGACAATCGTTTGTC